TGATAACTAATTTCTTTCAAATAAAGTTTTACCAGCTTTTAGCTATGTGAATTTTAAACAGCCACTAGAACAGTTTCTAGGTTGCTTGGAGCCTTTGGAGATCCGCGTTTTACATTCATACTAAATAACCTCCTACGTAGACAGACCCGGATAAAACATGTGTCATTAAAGAGCTGGTCAGTGCTTCTAGTGAGCCTGCGGTGAGACTGTTGGAAGCTAGAGTCTACATCTTTACGGCTATGTCAACAAACTAGAAATTCGCAAGCTCTGAATTTGGTCACTGACACTTACGGCAAAATATTCATCACTTGGTCATCAGATATTCGTATGTAGGTCGGGCTAGATTGCTAAACTGTGGGGAAAAAAAGAAAACTATCGGTGACACCGGGTGGGGGAGAAGCCCAACCTCGAAAAGTCAGCATTTAAGTAACATCCGTTGTACGAATAGAACTGCCGGACCCTACCTCGTGTTCAAGGATCCCGTCCAGCCCTTAAGTGACATCCAAATGAGACGATTCTCCCCAGAGAGAACGAGAATTGTGTGCAAAAATAGTAAAAAAGACTATTATTCAAAACAGAATAGGCGCTTGGACATTATCACGGGAGTGGAGGGTTCGTGGCATGTATTATTAAAGGAAGAACGATATGTTTGAGTGTGGATGTTTGCAAACTCATGGCGATGGCATAATCTTGAGACGGTCGAAGGCCGCCTTTTCCAAGGATTCCCTAGAAAGCAGAAGACAGGGCAAAAGGTTTGAGGTTGTTTGTGCAGAAGAGGATAGAACACTGATATCAATGTGTTGCAAGCCACAAAAGATAACACCGCTCTTTGAAAAAAGTCGACTGGGGGGTATGAATGGAGACCGGTGATAAGATCAACTTCAAATTAGGAAACAGTAACGGATTCCAATGGAGGGCAGTTGGAAACCACTATCAACCAGTCCTACGAAGCGTACTAAGGAAATTCAGAGAGCAAAATCGCACGTAAAGTTTGGATTTAGGGTCGACTGGGTGAACGAGCAGTAGGCAGATGGCCAGCCACTTACTATCAACAAGCTCAGCCAAAAGTTGTCTCCCATGTCGTCCATTATCATAATCAGCCAAGACATTTACGTACAGGAGATGCACTATCTTATCATATGTTAATTAAAATCCTTAAATGGGTCTTTGGTCAGAAAATATTACTTAAGTGAGATTCTCATATTAATTACTCTGCAGTATTATTCCCCAGATACTGCTATAGTTCATCCACTCTCATCGATGGGAATCACAGCTGACCGGACAACGCGTAAGTGGAGTTGCAGTGGATGTGATTTCGACAGGATCAAATCAACCCCCCTCCAAGTGCCCAGACAGGTGCTAGAACAGACATGTGGTCGTAGTGGCTAAAGAGACTAAAGCAACCTTTCAGGCAGTCCAGATCCCTCTATAACCACGAACAAAATTGTCATTAACAGACGGATCTCACGTTAGCCAGACCTGACTTAAAACCCACTTCGCATGCAGCCATTTCACCTGCACTTCAAGGAGTATTGCAGCAGGTGAACAGAAAGTAACTGCAAGTTAGTAATGCAAACTGATTAGGTGAGAGGGACAAATTTACCTAAAATCGGGATGAGCGATATTGATGAGAGCGTGGGCTCGCTGACGTATGTT